TCATTGGCATCACTAACTTAAAATTTGTCAATAATTTATAGAAGATGTTAGAATGGTTTTTGTTCAATATACTGTCAAATAATATGGTGTATAATTCATGGAAAACATGTAGAAATTAGTTTTTTTTCCTACCTTAGTGTTCGATACATATTGAGATATAATTAAATTCATATTTATGTTTTGAATCTCATTTTAGAAAGGGAAGGGGGGCATTAATTCAATTCCAAGGGTAACTCAATATCTAATAAGGCTCAAATATCAAATTTATGAATACGTACTTATCACTTCACGTCGCTGGTAGATAAAAAGTTTTGGAAACACACTTTATAATCTCCAACAACCCATAGCGTAATTTTCCTTCCTCATATTTTTTCCATGTTCCCCACTTATATTTATGCATTTCTCCACTAAAATAATATAATGTCTAATTTATTTGTTATTGTCGCCATATGGGTGGTGGGTAGGTTAAATACACGTCAATCGAGGTAAATGGAAGTACAAAAACAAAAACAGTTCCAAAAGTTTGAGTTTTTGAATTTTTATATCGATTGCTAATAAATATATTATAATGATTATTGGATTTATAATAAATATTTAAAGAATTTTTAATACAAAAATTACTGATTTTTCGTGAATCATAAACAAAGCTTTGAATCCACAGCTGTTAAGAAGGCATATACGTTACTAAAAAATATCGATACAATTTTATTTAATATATAAACAAAGTTTAGATAAAAGCTATCAAATTTTTGTGAATCCATACGCAAATTCTGAATATCCATGGCGATTAAGAAGGTATATATGATAAATGAAAAATATGTATGTATACTCAATATTCACATCAAATTAATTATATTAAGTTATGATGATTAAATGATTCTACATGATCAAGTAAAAAGATATCATGTCCCACTTTAATGAAAGTTTTTATATTTGAACGAAAATTAAGGAGATAGTAATTAATTGTGGGTATCAGTTGTCATGGTTAAGAAAAATATTACAAAAATTATTCCTAAAAAAAGAGATTACGATCCTGATTCTGTTGAATGTCCACCAAAAACTTCAAATTTTTGTCATGCAAGTTCTTCGCAGTATCCGCTTCGTAGTAAGGATAATTTTAAAGGTAAACAATGTGAATCGGTTGGTGCTGCTGATACAAAATATACAGGAAAGAGTTATTCCAATTGAGGTTGCTACAAGGAGAAGGATTATAGAAAGAGATGAATCGTCTAACTTTGAATATTTTTAACTTGTATAATATTGAACATTTTAATTTCCAAGTGTAATCCTCATTTACACACTAAAGGAAGTATTTGGAATGTATACAATTTTTTAGTAAATGAATACACATGTATGCATACATGAATTTTTGTATACACGACTTCATTCAAGTGGTAAAAGATTATTCGATTTAATGTTTACATTTTTAGTGAATGAATACACAAATATGTATACATGAATGCATTTTATACATAATTGTTCATTCACATGATAAAAATACATTCATCTGATGAAAGATAATTTAGTTAATTGTTTACCTATTATAAATAATTGGATACATAAAGTATATACTATTTGAAAAGGTATCCATTGTAGTGGATAACATAGATTTATATGTCTAGTTATTCTAATTGAATTGAATAGTATGTGGTAGTTAGTTTCACAAGAAAAGAAAAAAACAAACAAACAAACTAATAGTATGTTTTGGTTAATATGGGCTAATTGTGCTCTATTTTTTTTTGGGAAAATTGTATATAATAGCAAATTAATAACCTAAAATAAATGGAGTAGTTAGGATTTGATTTAATTGTGTTCCATAGCAAAAGTTTGCAAAAAATTGTCAGGCGCCTCTCTCCCAAATATCTCGCTCGCCACTCTCCTTTAATCTCTCGCTCACTTCCTCACTTTTTATACAAACACAAGTGTATAAAAAAATACTTCTAATTGTATAAAGCAGAGAAAATTGTATAAATACATATATTTTTGTTCCCCTCTCTCCCCTCTTTCAGATCTCGCTCGCCACTCTCCCAAATCTCGCTTGCCACACTCGCCTCAAACAGAAGCGAAATGTATAAATTGCGTTTCTGTTTGTATAAAGCGTGAGAAAATTGTATATACACATGCAAGTACATTTATTTTCGTCCTATACACTTATAATTATACAATAAAAATACTCCCCTGCCCAGTTTCTTTTGCCTTTCTCTCTTTCTTGTTTTATACAATTTTCAAATTGTATCTAATTTCTCTCTTTCTCGTTTTATACAATTCGATTCAATTGTATATTCCTTGTCAAGTCTCTTTTGTCTTTCTCTCTTTCTCATTTTATACAAATTCAAATTGTATATAATCGTTCTATACACTTATAATAATACAATTTGTTTTATATACTTCGTTTTTATACAGTTCTCTGCCCAAGGTCTTTCTCTTTCTTGTTTTATACACTTCTTTTTATACAATTTGCTTCAACTGTATATGTATAGCGAATTATACAGTTTCTATGTTTGCTATGGAGCGCAATTATGCAAACTTTGTTATAGCATACAAATATGAATTATTTACTATATGTGAAAGTTGCCCTTTTTTTTGGTCTATTAAATGCTATTTATTTATGGGCTATTTATTGCTAATTTTTCATAATAGTTGTATATATATGTCATTTACTCAATGGACTGCTGCTACGAATATCTTGGACTTGAGGCCCAGTTTCGAGTTTATTGGAACTGTATACAATTACTGTTTACATATGTATACTTCTATATATCCAATATATACAAATCAATTTTGGGCTACTAAGTCCTATGACCTGTAATATAACTTCAGCTTGCCACATATAAGCTTTCCTTGATGAGGCAGACCCAACTGTAAGTGCATATGTATACACTAATTTATACGTGGGTTCCGCTTCGGAGAAGACGAGTGGATCAGATATAGAAAACAAAGGAAATCTGAGCCCTGTTTTTTCAAAACATCAAACCGATCTTGAAAAAGATTACGTGGAATCAGAACAAAAAAGGGTAAAAATAAGAAGACAAAAATAAAATTACATAAGAACTTGTTCAAACAAATTTAATATTGATGGGTAAGGGCTGAGTGATGGGTCTTTTCCGGTGGGCTGAAAATTAAGGGAATAAAGAAGAGTAACTTTTAGGTTTTAGAAAAAATTAAAAATTATATATCTAAATAGTCTGTATAATTGTGTTTCATAACAAATTTTATATTTTCTATGGTTATTAATATGTATTTTTTCGATATATTTGTACAAAAGAATCAATTGTATAAGTATATATTTGGAATCTGTATACAAATAAGAACATTTTTTTTGTATATTTTATGTTTGTATAAAGCGAGAAAGAGAGAAACGCAAAAGTGAACTGGGCAAGGGAAGATTTGTATTGTATAATTATAAGTTATAGTCGAAAAGATATGCATTTGTATTTGTATATACATTAATTTTCTCTCGCTTTATACAAACACAGACACAATTTATACATTTGTGTTTGTATAAAGTGAAGAGACAAGAGAAAGAGTGGCGAGCGAGATCGGGAGAGTGGCGAGCGAGAAATCTGGCGAACTAAATATATGTGTTCGTATTTGTATGTATAATTTTCTCTCACTCTATACAAACATTAACATTATTAACGCATTTTTGTTTGCATATATACAGAGAGAGAGAGAGAGAGAGAGAGAAAGAGAGTTACGAGCGAGATGAGGAGAGTGATAAGCGAGATATATGGTGAGAGAGGCAAATGACAAAGTGTTTGTTATGGATTAGAATTAAATAAAACTGTGGTTATAACATGTAATATTAATTAATAATTTGCTATTTTATATAATTTTTGCAAATAAAGAATTATTCAAACTAACTTGCAAAGTATTTTGAATTTGTAAAAAACTGGTTAGTTTAAATCGTTTGAAATTGAAAATGCTTGATAATTAATCTATATCGTGGAGGGTCAAAATTGTATGTCAACACCTATAACTAATTTCATTTAATTGATGTTAGTAGTACTGTACTGGTATCATTGAGACTAACAATTTAACTTAATTGAAAATTTTGATAGTGAAAGTTAGCAAGGGATAATATTGAGATGTGGTTTGGCATCATCTTTGAACTCTTAAATTACCTTAATTTATGTAGATGATTTGTAGTCCCTCTAACCACTTACACTTTTTAAAAATCAATTTGACTAATTTTCAAACTTAGTTAGATTATATTAATTTGATATTTCAAACAAAAAAAATTTAGATATTTAAAAGCTATATGAAAAGTACTATAAATTGCAACTTTTTATATATCAAATACATAGTAAATGATGGTAAAAGTTTTTACAATTTTACTGTAAAAAAAGAAAGAGATAAATGGTTGAAACACACCTGAACTATACCTTTCTTTAAGTTTCATACCCAAACTGTCAAAAGTGTGAGAAACACACCTAAACTATTACATTTTAGTTTGAAAAAGACACCTCTATGCTGACTGGACCAAAATGTGTGTGTACACACTCTTTTACGCGTGTGTAGCCTTTTTTTTCGTCCACATGACTTCTTCTTTCTAAAAAAAAAATAAATATCAAAAACACACCTAAACTATATAATTGTTTGACTTTCCTACCTAAACTATTAGGAGGGTGAGAAATACACCTAAACTATCTTTCATAAATTTGAGAAACACACCTTAAATATGTTACATTAGTTGCTTAAGCTTGCTCAAAAGTGACTAATATTTGTATATCAATGATGTTATACAAGGAATCTACGATGCCATACAAGGAATTCAAGTTGCTTAAGCTTGCTCAAGTGACTATTTAAACAACTATGAGTTGCTAAGGACAAAAGTCAACAAAGCATTTTTAGTAGCTCAAAGTAGTAAATTGATTGGCTCTAATTTGTATAGTATAGAAGCACTGAAATCAAGTAATTCTTCAATTGCGGAGCAACCTACAACGATATTAAATTATTTGGGCTGCAAATAAGTAACCGTGTTTAGTAACATCAAAATACACAACCAAAATTTGATATCATCCTATTCACAACCAAAATTTAATACCATCCTATTCACAACCAAAATATAGGACCTAAGAACATTTCGAACCACATGAAAAATCAGTCACCGTGTTTAGTAGCTTATAATAACTACTTGGGCTGCAAATCAGTCACCGTGTTTAGTTACATCAAATTTCAAAACTAATAGTTGATATCGTCCTATTCACAACCAAAATAGGCAAATTAAAAATAGTTCGAGCCACATGAAAAATCAGCCACATCATCCCTAAACACCTTCAGTTCATGCTGACCTTGCGATGAAGTTTGTGACTTGATGTTCTTCTGTCTAAGCAAAGCACTTTTATATTGAAGTTGACTTCCCGTGATAGCACTTTTCCCCTTCCATTTAAGACCTTTACTTGGTGCATAACCAAGGTCACCGGTGACAACAGCTGAACTTATCAGTTTCTCTTGTGCTCCGCTCTTGATTACCCTGCTAATAGATCTTCCTTGCTGTAAAGTAATAAAGAATCGTTCAATTATTTTTAAGAAGTGTAATCAAGAATAAAAGCTTATTAACTCTCGTTTTTACCTCGGCACAAATAAAACCATCTTTGCTCACAAATACTCCATAACCCACTACTCTTGGCCTCTTAAATGCATCATTTGCTCCTTTTATATTACCACTGCCACTTTGCACTATTGCTTGAAATGGTTCAGAAGACTGAGATTGTTGCATTGCTTGAGGTGGATGAGATTTTTGCTTGTCACTTCTTTTACTACATTTGGATGTTTGTGATGTAGCAATACCCTATGCAAAGAATAATTTTGAAACTGTTAAAGGTATTAATACACTATAAATAAACATTAATATAAATCAAATGTACCTCTGAAGTGGCTGGAGGTTTGTTTGGACATGTTCTTATATTGTGACCTTTTGACTTACAAGCAGAGCAAGTCATGGTTTTTCCTCTCTTTGGAAGCTTTCCAGAACTTGGTACCTCTCCAAGTTCCTTTTTTCTTTTTTTTACCAGGCCTTCCTGGAATTTTCCTAACAAAAGGTGGCTCAACTTTTGGATTCTATGTCTCGGGCCACATCTTTATGTTTGTTACTGGTTGTAAAAAATGTTTATACACTTTCAGATAAGTTTCCTTTTTCTACCACTTACAAACCGAGTGAAGGATATTAGCTTCATTCTGATGTATAGCTGTTATTGCATGTGCACAAGGAATTCCTTTCAATCCCCAACTTCTACAAGTACAAGTTCCTTGAATTAGGTTAACCACATGTATATATGGACTATCCTTGACTTCATACCCAATATCACCATTCCAACTAATTTCCACCCCCATTGACTTCTTCACATTTGTATTTAGCACCAACATTGCCATTGGAGATATGTCATGACTCCAACTAGTTACAAATGTTATCACTTTAGTGAATCTATTCGTTACCTTTTTCCTTATTTCTTCAAGCATACTGATGAAAGTCTTGTGCCTAGCACCCAACACCCAAGCATTGAAACTTTCAGCCATATTATTATCCATACTGTCACATTTTGAAGATGTCCTAAATTGTGGTTTGGATCATCTATTAGGATTGAAGTTTACCAAGTCATTAGAAATATCTTCACCTAATTGTGATAATTTATCCAAGTTCTTCCTAAGTTGAGCTTCAAATGTTGATCTAGCACAAGCCCAAAATCTCTTTCGTTTCTTAACACCTTTCCAGTTTTTTGACCAGTTTGCAAGTATATGCCTTGCACACATTCTTTGTTCACATTCTGGAAGCAACTCCTGAACAGCTAAATATAATCCCTGAAAAACTTATGTGGTTAAAATCATTCAAAACAATAACTAAAATGTATTGTGAAGAATCTGCAAAACTAAGACTAAAATCACTTAACAACTAAAGCTAAAATGGATGAAAATAGTAGCTAAAAAGAACAGTAGCTAAATAAGTTAAATAACAAAGTACCACTAGAGTATCAATTTTGTGGACAAGATAGAATATTGTTATGAACTATCAAAAGGTCCTTTACAAAATGCTGCAATTAGTAGCTAAAAACTACTTATAACACATCAGCTAAAAAATCATGAAATCAATAGTTAAAACTGAATGATAAGAGACGAAAACAGAGGTTTAAAAAGAGCTTAAATTAGTAGCTACAATTAATTAAACACATTAACTAAAACTTGTTAAATCAGTAGCTAAAGAAGCTGAAAATATCAGCTAATAATGGCTAAAAAACTGAAATCAGAGGCTAAAAGTCGTACCTTTTGCATATCACTTGTAATAGTCAATCCTTCTCCTTCATTATTAATGTCCAAATCAGATTTCAAGATTCTCAAAAACCAAGTCCAAGTTTCTCTACTTTCAGTTCCAACAACAGCCCATGCTATTGGGAACATATGATTATTTGCATTTCGCAATAGCAACTAGTAGCTGGCCTTTAGATATTCCCTTCAAAAAGCAACCATCTAACCCAATACACTTTCTACAACCCTCAATGAATCCTTTTATCAAAGCTGAAAAACAAATGTAAAAGGAATAAAAGAGTTTTTTTTCATCGTCACAATTTGTCACTTTCACCACACAAGTGCTTCCTGGATTTGATTCAAGAAGCATATCTCTGTAGTCATAGATTCTACTGAACTCAGCAACATGATCACCCATTATCTTTTTCAACAATATTTTTTTGGCCTTTAAACACACGAACTTACAAACATACAATCCCATGTCTGTTCCGGCCAAATCTTGTATTTTCCATCCCTTTATGCAAGGTTGAGAAACAATTCTACTTTTATAGTACTTAGCCAAAAACTTAGAGTTGCACATTGTGTTGGAATTGGTTCTATAAAACTTATGTCTAGGATTGTAAGTTTTTATGATGAAATCAGAAGATTTGAAATCTTTGCTTGCATAAGTATCCAAGGACAACCATTAGATTTGTATTTTACTCTGACCCTTCTTTGATCATTGTGGATCTTCTCCAGTTGACAACCTCTCTCAATTGCATACTTGCTCAAAGCTTCTCTGAATTTTTTCACATTTTCGAATACCATGTTAAGTTGCCACACAACCTTTGACCAGATTGGATCATATGAGACCCTCTTGTCCTTCTTTCTTGCCCTTAAAATGTCAGATTTTTCAACATCTATTTCCCCCTCACTTTCACTTTCAAAACTGTCGTAAAAAGGCTCATCACCTACTATCTTACCAGTAAAAAAATTTTTGGGTTTATCAATGTCTTCAAAACCAGGATCTATGCCAACTTCTCCAAGAAAACACTCAACAATCTTTTTTTTTCTTGGCTCTTTATTTTTCTTCAAATATACTTTCAAATCCTTCTTAACTATACTCAGCTATTCATGAATATCACTCCCATAACCATCTTCTTCACTAGAAAAGTCAACATTCTCATCACTTTCAGCATCACTATGCACAATTGTTTCTGCTTCATCTTCCTCTGAATCTTCATCTTCACTTGAAAACTGAAATTCATCTTCAGCTTTGTTTGTGTTTCTACTGTCATTTTCTATCAGATTTGATTGTTGGACCCCGAAAAATTTGATCTCTACCATCAATAAGTAATATTTTTTTTACCTAAAGGTGCATTGAGACCTTCACCAACTTTGTTGGTAGATTCTTTATTAGGTCTATATACTTCATTGCATATGGTCTCAAAAGACTCATTGATATGTGTTGTTTTGATAAAAACTTCCCCTTTATGGAAGATATAAATGTCCATAATACCCCCAACAACCAACAAATTGGCCAAGACCAACAAATCCCTATCTTTGACCAATTCTACCAAATTGCCAACTTGAGCAACTCCAATATATATTTTTTCTATATTGGTAACCCCAAAATCTCTGCAATAGTCATTTATTTCCGGAATAGACAAACGGTCTATATCAACATTGAAGACATATTCTTTTTTTCTCCCAATATAAACAGGTCCTACCTCACTCACAAGTATATCACCGATGTGAAACCTCAAATTTACGTACTTAATGTCCCTTAGAAAAATTGAAATATGCAAAGTTTAATAAGCCAACTATTATTCATGAAATCAGTAGCTAAAAATCGCCATCAAAATTAAGTTCAGGAGTAAAGAAAGAGTATCTTATGTAGTCAATTTCTTCTCCTTTCAACTCTTTTCAAATTGTATGAATCAAAACCTAAAAAAATATACAAAATCGTTAATATTTTGAGACAAAAATAAGAACCCTAACATTTTTTGACAAATGAGTAACTAACCTTCAAACCATGATGAATTTGTGAATTAATAGTGAAAGCCCCAATTTTGCTCAAACTATTCACACACAAAGATCAGCTGAGAAATAGAGAGAATGCTTCTATATGTTGAATGTTAAACTTTAAACTTTTGATGGTGGAATTTGTTTCCACGTGGCAATCTATGTGGCATTTAAAATAAATAAATTGAGAGAGTCTAAGACACACACTATCACATTTTACTTGAGGTGTATTTTTCAAACTAAAGTGTAATAGTTTAGGTGTGTTTTTCACGCTTTCGATAGTTTGGATATGAAACTCAAAAAAAAGCATAGTTCAGGTGTATTCTAACCATTTATCTAAAAAAGAAATCATCACAATTAAAAGGATGGAGTACTATATTAATTGCACAAAAAAAGAAGGTACGAGTACTTCGAAAGTCTGTGAAGTAACATTACATACACAGGAACTAAACCCATAATTTGTGTAAAAGGTATGTAATATTCATGAGCACTAATTGTCTGTCTTATAAACAACAAAAAGCAGTAGAAGGTGTATCAACAACAGAAAATATTCAGGGTAAAAAGCTCATCCCATTCGGGCTAACCCATACAGGCTTTGACATTTTACGGGTCAGACCGGCTAGTTCATTTTTGGTGTGGGCCAGAAAATGATTAGCACAGCCCACAAGTACGTGGGCTACAGGTTTGCCGGGCCAGCCCACTTTTTAAAAAAATATATTTTTTTATAATTATTAAATTAAATTATAAATTATAATTTAAAAATATTATCATAAATATCGACAAAACAAAATTAATTATGTTAGGCCTCATTTGTTTGCACTTAATGGGGTTTGAATCTTAATCATTCAGATTTGCCTCATTAAATATATTTGTTTTTAAGAACTGGATCTTAATTATTTAGATTCAGTTCATTAAGTTCGTTTGTTTTATTTTCTTATAAGCCTCTTAATGGGTCTGGATATATCTGAATGGATCAGATCTATAAGACACCCTTAACACTATTCAGACTAAAAAATAAGACTCTTATCTTAATTCAACTAGATCATAACAACTCATACAAGTTATTTTCTTATTTAATTAATATTTAATTACATGCTTGCCATTATAATTTCCATTATTCATATTAACTTACTATACATCTTTTACTTTCATAAATTAATCAATATATTTGAATTGATAAGCACTCCCATGATACATTATTTAGCACGGTTTCAAAAAATAAGAAAGTATTAGTTATTTGATCGTTAACAATAATAAAATTCTATAATAAAATAAAATATTTTCCTAAACTATATATTTACTACTCTATATAAACTATTTTAAATTGCATTACATTAGATTCTCAAAGTATTTTGAGTGCGAAAAATAGTCATATTAATGATGTAACTTGATGTTGAGTTCTTAAAAGATAAATCATATTATCTTGTTACGGCAAAAAAGTTCAAAATATTATTTTATATGAAAAAAAATTATTTTACTAACAAGGTTTTGATAATATTTTATTGATATAACGTTTAATTTCATATGTGCATTCATATATGAAAACAAACTGTCCCAATAATTTAGTGTTCAGATTCAGAGACAATGTTTTAATATTCAGATATTTATTCAGATTTACACATCTTAATATTTAAATGCGTATCCAAATTCAGACGTCTTAGTCTTAATGGAAATAAATGAGACCTTAATATTTAAATGCGTATCCAAATTCAGACTAAACAAGTTATCATAGTGACATTTGTTACAGTCATCAGAGAGTTCCCATTCTACTAGAAATCCGGAAGTAAAAAAGCTGTCATCTACTGTTGGGTGAATTGGCAATTGGAGAAGTGAACAGTTGATAGTAAGATTGCCTGCTGGAAGGACTTCATCGTCATCTCAGGGAAGATTGTAGTATATGTTAAAGCCTTTACAACCATTGTACATTTTATAACCAGCAAAATGCTCGTTGTTCTTCCGGGTACTACTAGCACTGTTGCATCTGTAAAAATCACTCATAAAGATTTGGAGAATTTTGAAAGATATAGACGGAGAATCTGGAAGGGAGATATTTTTGTTAAAAGCCTGGCACTTGTTTTTCCTCAATATAGTTTGAAGCTTCGGGTCCACGATCAACACTGTATAATTAAACGGCACGCTTATAGCATCATACCAATCTCCTCCAGGAAGCAACTGGATTCTTGGGTATTGTTTAACATCACAACCAGAAATGGACATATTCCACAGTCAGGTTGTGTTAGAAGAGTGAAAGGAAAGTTCAAGTTAGTAAGATTTCCACATGAAAAGAACTTTGGACAAGTTGAATCATTTGTCCCCTTTGCCTGAACTAAAATCAGAAGAAGAGATAGAATAAAGCAAACAAAAGAAGAAGCCAAAGACATATTGAATCGATACTGCAAGAAGAGGAAAAAGAGCTGAAGATTTGTGAATTGCAACTCTAGCTAAACAGACTATCTTATAGGATCAAGTTCCATTACTAGTCGTTATCTTATTCATATATATTTATAAAAAAGAAACTCTATGTACAACCAAACGTATACGAAGTGTCAGACTTATTGAGAAAAAGAAAGGAAAAGTAAAAAGGAAATTTCCATTGTACCTTCTCGTAAACAACCAAACGTATAAGAGGGGTCAGACTTATTGGGAAAAAGATAAGTGACGAAGAATGGAAATCTTTACATTACCTTTTCTAGCCATCAACACCAGTAGGAAGACTTTAACTTGTTGACTCTGTGTACTAACGGAGACCAACATCTCTGGTAATGAAGACTTCAACTGTATAAATAAAAGCACAGTTGTCTGAAAGTCAAATGGTTTGCAGATACATCAAATGTATGGTGAATAGTGCACTTGTAGTTGCACAGATTTCTAATGCGGTATACAAGTTAAACTTTTATAGAAATTAAAAATTGCATCACTTACACTCATAGTACATAGCTCAAGAAACTTCTCACAGTAGTACATTTTGCAGTCTCCCAAAATATACATAAAAGTGACAAAGAAACGGATTACAGAAATCTTAACTACTGTGTACACGTTCTATCAGAGCAAGTAGTCCATTTATCAGTCACAGAATTTGAAGAAGGCAGTGATTTAACTTTCTTCAACAAAAAAATATCTTTTGATTCAGGGAAAGGAGGAGGAACTACTATTTTAGATTCATTGGCATTGAGATTAGTCTGAATCTCCTTTAGAGTATCCAAAACTTCAACCGTAGTAGGCCTCATGTTCCAATCTGTCTGCAAGCACAGAAAAGCCAGCTCAGCCACTGAAGTAGTCATTTCCCGAGTTTTGATATCTGAATCGAACCCCAGGGATGGATCAATCAGCTTGTTAACAGCAGATTTTACAATCTTGTTCATTGCATAGTTAGCCAAATTGATCTCTTGGCTATGTCTGTTCATATCCATAGCCGGCATTGATGAAATGAGCTCAACAAGGACCACCCCGAAGCTATAGACATCGCTTTTACTAGTCAGCTGGTAACATTCATGATACTTTGGATCAATATAGCCAGAGGTACCCCGGGGTGTGGTTGAAATATGAGAGACATCGTTTGGGAAGAGCCTTGAAATCCCAAAATCTGCAACTTTAACACTAAAGTTGTGGTCAAGGAGTATGTTATTAGTCTTGACATCACAGTGTATTACATCAGAAGCATGCAGGTAAGCCAATGCACCAGCAGTTTCTATGGCAATGTTCATGCGGATTGGCCAGGTAAGTGATCCGTCCTTCGCTCTGTTACGATGAAGGTGATCAGCAAGAGTGCCATTAGGAATATATTCATAGACAAGGAGTAGTTCACGGCTTCGCGTTGAAGTGCATCCATAGAGGGTGACAAGATTGTTGTGCCTTAGTCTAGTTAGGATATCAACTTTGTTTACAAACTGCTCCATTCGCTTGCAGTTGTGCTCGTAGAGGCGCTTTACAGCAATTTCCTGTTCATCTTTATGTTTTCCTGTTCATCAATGAAAAAGAATTAGCCACAAGAAGAAACAGTTGATGCATAGCCATATTCAGAAGTTTCTCACCATAGTAAACAGTTCCATAACCTCCATCTCCAAGTACTCTAGAGGAATTGAAATCATCGGTGGCCTCTTCAAGTTCTGAATAAGAGAAAACTGAGATACCAAAGTATATACTGCCTCCCTCAACATCATGGTTAAAGATATCTGTGTAAAGTTACGGGTATTATTACTGGTACTGATGCATTTGTAGAAGCTTATTATATTAATCATATGGAAAGACATAAAAGGAGAGCATGGAAGGGAGAAATTTTTGTTAAAAGCCTGGCACTTGTGTTGCGTCAACGTTGTTTGAAGCTTCGTGTCCCCAATCCAAACTGATGAATTATGCATCTGTAAAGCATAGTACCAATCTCCCTCAGGAAGCAGTCAGATTCTCGGATATGGTTTAGCATCACAATCTGATAAGAACATTATTCCACAGTCATGTTGTGTGGAAAGAGAGAAAGGAAATCTCAGGTCAGTAAAATTTCCACATGAAAAAACGACTTTGGACAAGTCGAATAAGTTCTTCCATTTGCCTGAACTAACATCATAAAAACAGATAGAAGGAAGCAAAATAAAGAAGAGGCAAGATCCGACCTGCTGAGGATTCAACAGCCTCTTCTGTGTTCTGAAAGTGTATAATATTCTTGTGCCATTGCGTTAAGTTAACTGTTTGAAACAGATATGGTATGATATGCTTGAAAATAAAGTAGCAAACCTGCTACAACAACTGCAAGGTATATATCGGCGGCAGTGATTTAACTTGTTTCAACAATAACATAACTGCATATTTTTTAATATGTATGAATCATAAGTGCAGCTTCAAGTATAACGTTGCTCTGTTTCTTTTTCTCATCTGATTCTGTCATATTTTTTAAAAAAAGTTAATGCTTTACCTAGAGCAAATGGAATTCATTGGCTGGAGTAATTAAATACATTCTCGACTGAATTTACTATCAGGTATGCATACAGTACAAGTAGTTTCTTGATTAGAAAACAGAGTTCATCAGACTTTTTTTTACTTTTAATAATATTTATATCGATGCTAATTTAGAGGAGTCTTCAATGTATGAAATAACATTGTATATAGCATGCAAAAATGGATTAAAGAAAATAAGTTTAATTTAAATAAGAAGAATTACAAAACAGAAAGAAAGCTAGGAAATAGAAAATAGTTACGTAGAATGGAAATAACACTAAAGAAAATAGTCAAGCAACAAAAGGAGTGTTGAAGATCCATATAGGTGGAGTAAATCTGTGATACGATTCACCAGTATAGTGAGGCTCGATTGTATCATCAAGCAAGTTATATATGCCCATGTCCTTGCCGCCTCCTTTTTCAATACAATAGTAGGCGCAATAACAATCATCAGTAAAATATATATGATTAGCCTTGCACCCATACTGTTGAACATCGTCAACAGCCAGAGAGGCACTAAATCCGAGGAAAAGTGATGTGTTGCCCAAATCATTAACCTCATCATAACTCTCATTATCAACATCAACCTTAAAAACAATAAATTCTTCGACACCATAGGTGTTTGTTTCTGGGTGTGGAAAAATTCCATCTCGAGTGATGACAAATAGTTCACCTTGAGAATGCACAATGTAGAGATGCATTCCACAGATAAACTCAGAGGGAACGCCTTGAAACATCCTTCCAATAGTTGGTTCTAATCCTCCTCTAAAGTCCAATATAACAACGCGTCCTCGAACATCAACCCCATAAAACCGTCCATCATGCCATGTTACATCAGAATAAGTTGCTATGCGAGTTTCAACAGTGATAAAAGCATTTTTTCCAGGTTTCCAATAGGCTAATGTATGAGGAACTCCTTGACTAATCATTAAAATATAATCGTCGTCGTCAGTGTTGTTATGAGGATCTGAAGAAAGCACCGCTTTTTGAACATAATGCTCACAGTAACCGCGTTCATCATCAAAATTGAAACCTTTCAATGTGTTCATATGAGGTAATTCGATAATAGCACGAGAATTAAGATGGAACAAATTCATATTACCTTCCCCATCTGCTGTGAAAAGCCACCCTGGAATTCCAACACCCAAACATTGTTTTCCAGCAAGCTCTGGAAAATTCATGGTGTAAGTAATGCCGTTTGTTAAGTCGAAAAACTCACGGTTTTCTTCATCCCCTTCCTTCTCTGCGAGCATCAATAATGGAACTGGAACTCCAATCAACAATGGAACTGGAACTCCAACTTTCTCCGCAACCATGATTGTAAGTACCAAACTTTGATTTGATGATGAATAATCAAAACCTAATCCCCTTTTATAACAAATCAAATCCTAATTTGGTCTGTCTTAGGTTTACTACATACTCTTTTATTTTCACATTCATAAACCGACTCATATCGGGTTAAGGCCAAAGAGAATGAGTTTTTTTTTTTTCTCTCACCTAATTGTAAAGGGAGTGTGCATCATTTGGATTAAATCAAAAAATTTAACTATAATTAATTTTTTGGATTCTTGATTTAGTTTTGGATTTATAACTTACTTTGTTTGATTTTTCGGTTTGATTTCGAATTTAGAAAAATGAAAATCAGAAAAAACTGAATTATATTATAATTGATGTATTTATAAATATTGTATTTTACGTTTTAATTTATTTTTAAATAAATATATATTTAAGAAATTCAATATTATATGTATAGATATTTTTTTAAAAATTACAAATATAACTTTGTTATATATCCAATTATTGATATAACCGATTAAGTAAATCGAAAAAATCCAAACCAAAAAGAAAAATACTATTCTTTTTTAAACACATTAAAAAAAACAGTCATTCTTTTTTCTTTCTTTTTTTTAAAAAAAGGGAATATATAATTGATATTTTAAATATTATTTTCCTTATATATTAACTTATAGTAAGACCCAAAAAAGATTATAATTAAATTTTTACCTTTTCTTTGACTTAGCAAGACTTTAGCATATTTTTATGTCACGATCCAAAACCGGGCCGCGACTGGCACCCACACTTACCCTCCTATGTGAGCGAACCAACCAATCTAACCTTAACGTTTCAATGCAGTAACAACAGAAAATAATGCGGAAGACTTAAACTCATTAGTAAAATCAATAATCAACTTCTATAACTCAAAAACTTATCATTATCCCCAGAATCTGGAAGTCATCACCACAAGAACATCTACAATCAAATGACTAAACTAAGAGTATTCTAGAAGCTAAAAATACATAAGAAGCTAGTCCGTGCCGGAGGTTCAAGGCATCAAGACATGACGGAGG